GACAGAAATTGAATAAAATCAAAAGTCAACGAGTGAAAAAGTCAACGAGTTTCTCATGCCTGACCCTTCCAATATATGTACAAGACAGAACAGGAGACCAATGGACTGAAGCTTGTTATTTTTTTTTAACCTTTTAAAATTAATATATAATCCATGTGTAACATTATTATTTCTTGAAGAGGTGTTCTCTGTAAACAAAAAGGGGTGATGTGCTGCCAAGAGAAAGCTAGAGACAAAAGGGAAAGAAGAGACTGCATTAGGAATTGAAGACTATCTGTCTGGGACCTTCCTTACTCCTGAGGCTTTAGCTGTGAAGCCATTGCACTTTGATGGCATAGGGCTGAAACATCTAGATAACAGGCACAATGACAAATTTGCTTTCCTCCCACTCTGTACAGCTTTGGGAATATTCAGTGAATAAATGCCTAAATAAAAAGTGAAATCTGGTATGTATTTGTGGTGGCAAGACCAGCAAATGACAAGCAATGCAAGTGGAAGGGGATTCTCCTTCTCTCTGCTTATGCCTGGATGGGGGGGACCTTCTTATGTACTGCTGGGCATCAAGGATCAACAATCCAGAAGTAACTGCTTACCTGGGGAAACAGTGTCCCAGTTTTCCCACTTCAGAGCACTACAGGAATACACCCTGTAGGATATTAGAAAGAAGAGATCCTCATTCATGCCACATATATTTCTGTACCTGAATTGTTTAAATAAAACTATACAAATTCTCTCATTTCAGTAGTTTGCAATGACTTTTCTTTTACTTTGCCACCATAATGAAGAGTAGTGGTAAGAATATGGACTTAAGGGTTATGTCCTTGGTTTATGGCCCTGCATTCCAGAGACCCAGGACTCTGCAGAGTTGGAAAAGGAAAAAGCAGGTGTGGGTAGTGCATTTCTGGAGGAGTTAGTATTGTCTAAGTGTTTTTTATGGAATTTAACTTACCTGTGAAATTTTTGAACTCTCATTTCTCTTGGAATCTGGTGATGGGAGAGGTAAATACTGTTCAAATTAGAAGCATTTTTTTTTGTGCTAATGTGACTATTTTTGGGAGTAGGAGAAGCTTAAATGTGTTAAAAGATAAACTGAGGCACATTAAAATTTTCAAGAGTTTCTTTGGGTGTACATCCATTCAAACTGGGACAACACTAAACTGAAAGTGCTTAGTAGGAGTACTCCATCAATAGGAAGTAAGAGAGATGTTTTTATAGAGAAGATGTGGAAGTGAACCCAGGAAATTGTTTGATTGACAATAACGTAAGTGATTGCCTTATTTGGGAAAGTCTTGGTGACTGTAATTGATTGTTCTTATGCGTCACTTTCTTGGATTTAGTGCATTGATTCTGGCTTAGGTTTGGTTGGCTTACATAGGCTACCAATGCATTAGAGCCACCCTGGCCTAGTTGTCTCCCTATTAATTATTTTAACAGATGGATTTATGATGAGTTTGACAATAGAATAGGGGATGAATTTTTGGTTCATGACATTTTATGCCTTTAAGTAAACTTAATTTCAGCCCTGCCCTGGACCATTTCAGAAGTTTTGGGGGCAAAATACACAACTCCATCTCACTGGTCTCAGATAGGGATGAATACTGGGGGAGAGACCAAGATAATGAGGCAATGGGTTGCCTTAAGTATTTCCTGTGAAGCCCAATGGTTGAGAGAACTTGGCAGGGTGAGACTCAAGCAAGTGAGGAAGAGGAACTCTCAGCATCTCTCCTGAACCTAAGAAAAATCTCCTTTCTTGATCCTCTGAGCCCACAGTTTCCACCATCCTTTCTAATAATAAGAACTCTCAAATGATTGCTTAGATTCTGAAACACAGTCTGTGGGTTCTAACTGGTCACTTTCACTAGTGAGTGGGGTAACTACGCTATACAAGGTTACTTGGACTGGGAGGCTCTTCTCTTCAAGTCTTTCCTTCCATGGTGCCGGATGGGCAAGCTAAGGCAGGGCATACTCAACAGCAATGGGCTGGGCCTCTTGTTTTTCTCTTTACTTCCTCTTACCTGCATGTTGCATCTTGCAGCAAGGATTTGACTCACTGGCCAGCAGGTGTTAAGACTGGGATTAAGGAACAATCAAGAATGTTTCTTTGGGCTTATGCTTAAGTTTTGGGTTCCATTCCAACTTCATCAGAAAACATGGCACTAAGAGTTATTGCCACCAGCTAACAAAACAGTTCCTTAATTTTAAATTGATATTCTTGTTTTGTGTGAATTCTCCCTCCGGAATGTCAAAAGGAACAGTTATTATTGACAATACAGAATTTTCACTTTTGGGAAACCCTGTCTAATAGGATGACTGGTTTGCCTGTGACTAAGGAGTCTCTTGGGATACAGGATTTTGATTGCTAAAACCAGGAAAGTCACTGACAAGCCAACATGAGTTAATCAAGGTGATTAAACCCCAGATATAAATTTAACTTCTTCTACTAGTTGTACAACTTTGGAAGTGTTACCAATTCTGTCTGAACCTTAAATTTCTTGGTTGTGGAAAGGTTTTTATGAATACTAAATCATACTACATTAAATGTCCTAAAATATTTCCTGGTCTATAGCAGATGCTACATTAATATGTGTTTCTATTTCTTTCTTTCTTTCTTTATTTTTTTTACTTTTATTGGTGCAGCAGAAAATAAAATGATATTCTGAGGGAGAAAACACAAAATAGGAAAAACTGAAGTACTTTTCTGATTTAAAGAATTGGAGGGGCACCTGGGTGGCTCAGTGGGTTAAGTCTCTGCCTTCTGCTCAAGTCATGATCCCAGGGTACTGGGATCAAGCCCCGCACTGGGGTCTCTGCTCAGTGGGGAGCCTGCTTCCTCCTCTCTCTCTGCCTGACTCTCTGCCCACTTGTGATCTCTGTCTGTCAAATAAATAAATAAAAATCTTAAAAAAAAAAAAAAAGAATTGGAGAAGTTTTCTGAATCCCCTTTTCTTCTCAGCTTTCCATCATAATGGTAAGCAGCATCAGAATTAGAGAATGCAACAGTGAATGTATTCCAATCCTAGAATAAACCAGGGGCCACATATCAAATGACTTCAGAGGCTATCCAGGAAACATGAATGACTGAAATGGGTTGAGTGGGACTTGTGGCTATTGGCACTAACAGATTTTGACCACATGGGAAGGAAAGCCCAAAGTGTGCCAGATCTTACCAGATTTTCCTGTATAATTTTTAATGTGAAATATACTTATTTGAATATGTTGACATCAAATTAGGCCTTTTACAAATAGCGTTTTAGCCAATCAAAACATTCCAAGGACCTTTAATCTTCTCATTGAATTGTTTTACTGGGGAAGAGAATGCAATTGGATGTCATAATAAGACAACCGAAGAAAGTTTATTCTACCTGGATGGAATAATCACCATTATTAAAAGAAAACCAAACTAATTAAATGATTTTCGAAACAAAAAAATAAGACATGGAATTGTCGGGCTTTGAATTTGGGTTATCTTGTAAATCTAGCAACTCAAGACTAAACCTGTGGGGTTGCAAAATTATAAAGGAAGGACCTGCTAACAAAGCTTCATGAAATTCTTGCAAGCATTACCTGACAGATTTCAAAACAGTTTGAATATTAGTCATCCCAGATACGCCTGCCAAAAAGGGTAGTGTGTTAAAAGAACATCTGCAGCCCACATAAATACCCCCTGCTGAGTTAAACGCAGAGAGGAAATCAGCTTCAAAAGTTGCAGAAGGCAAAGAAGCTGAAACAACAGTTTTACAGTAAGTGGTTGATAGGCTTTCCTATGGGTGAAACTGTTATTGAGGAGCTAGTTAGTTCACAATATATTACATGCTTGACCTTTAGCTTTTGGTGACAAGAACTTTTGAGGATATATTTGGACTCTTCCTACTCAAGGAATTATTTACACTGTATAAGTTGAATACCAATTCTGTCAAGTATGGGTTACTAAATGATTTATACTCCTCTGAGTTACAATAATGCCATGAAATGAAGAAAATACTAACTTAACCCTTGACTGGATCTAATCACACAGTAGAACCAATAAGGCAAGCAAATCATAGCAAAGCAGCAGAACCCATGGTAGAAGTGTTGTCCTGAATGTTTTCAAACAGCATAAAAATATAAATTCAGACAGAAACAGCCTGCCAAATGGAAGGTGATCTGAAGAAATCATCACTGTTATAGTCTGAGCCTTGCGATTTCGGGAGCCTTCATAGCTGATGGCAGACTATTCCTCAGTGACCTAATCACATTGTTTTGCCACAGGACAGAGGAGGTTTGGGATCTGTGGCAGATTTCTGTGGGTCCCGAATGCCTGGGCCAGAAACCCTATAAAGAGAAATCTGTGTATGTGGTATTACTGAGGATGGCCATATATTTTTTTTCTTCAGAAATATGTGTTTAGTGTCTTTTTCTTTTTTGACTCAGCATATCCAAACAGCACAGCTGTAGAGACAGTACAGGATTTTCTTTTTGTCTTTTGCTTTCATTTATTCTTGTTAAAAGGGAAACAATGGATTCAAAGTTTAAACACTGTGCTTGTGACTGCCAGTTATATAAAGCCAGAGAGAGAGAGAAAGAGAATCATATACTAAATTCTTTCTTGCTTCTCAACTTAAAAGAAAATTCCTGTGAAATCATTTTAGGTCAAATAAGAGCTATTAATCAATCCCTTTCACACTGGTAGACTTTGGTTGAAGAGGAGAAATCTGGCATGTGAGTGAGGTTATGATTCAGGAGTTAGCTTCTCGAACTTAGAAAATGTTACTGATGAAAGGTGATCTGTTTTATTCTTAATCTACAATTCACTAGTTATGCAGCTTCAGGAGCTTGTTTGAGACAATAAGAATCATGATTCAAGATCTCAGAATGATTGCTTGCAGGTTTATCCAGCATGAAAGATAATTTCGTGGAATGAATCATTTAAAGACAGTGAGAGTCCATGATGAAACTACAGTCTGGAGTTTGAAAAGAGACAGGGCTGCTTTAAGAGAGAAACAGGAAGTTGTAACTAGAAGCCATCTGAATACTAAGCCAAGGCAGAACGCTCATGAAGTAGCAACTTAAGTGGCAGTGTTTATTCTGAAATCTTCAGGCAGCCGACTGTTTTAGGCAAATCTTGATAGCCCTTATCCAGGTTTTTAATCTAAGGAATCCCAAGAAGACCGGAGAATGGAAAGACAGCAAAGGTTTATGTCAGAGAAGGATGAGTATCAGTTTCAACATCAGGGAGCAGTGGAGCTGCTTGTCTTTAATTTTTTGCTCATCCTTACCATATTGACAATCTGGTTATTTAAAAATCATCGATTTCGCTTCTTGCATGAAACCGGAGGAGCTATGGTATATGGTGAGTGCAGAAATTGTAGGATTGATGTGAAACTTGTTGCTTGGGCGTAATTAGAGACTTGTGCTCAGATGGTGAAGTATTGAAACTGGAGAAAATGTGCTGATTGAAATGTCATTAGCTTGATGAAAGGTGCCGCAGCATAATGAATGCTCATCTCTTTCCAGATGAGCTGCTGAAATTTGCCCTGTCACAAGAGTAAATGTCACAGTCATGTTCTCACACGGCACACATCATGCGAGTCTATTGACAGATGCAGGTCCATTGTCATGTGGGGAGTCAAACCGAGTCAAACCGAGCAAACTGTTTTTGTAATGAAAGATATTGGGAAGTCATGGCTCTGCAGTCACAAAGAGCAGCCCATCTTTCACAGGCAGAACTGAGAAGCATTATCAAGTTCTAGAAATAGCATCATTTAAAATGTATGGAGTAAATTCTCTTTTCTCAACTAGTTTCAAGAAGGAAATGTTCAGAAACATACCCCAGTCCTCCTATTAGAATAATTATATCCAAATCCATTTTAATTATATGAGCAATGTTTTATTTTCTTATAAGAGAGTTTCTTTATGCAATAGTTTTCATTTCTTAGGCTGATTTCAGACTTTCTAATTTATAATTGTCATTTTAATGTTATTTGTTATGTACCATTTTGGGGGGGAGAGAGGGCAAGATGTGGAAAAGCATTTAACATTTTAAACTTCCAAAATATTACTCTTTCTATGTAATTTACCATGTCATGCCTTTCAGAAAGTTGAAAAAATGTGACAAAGATTATCCACACTGTACTCTCATCTTTGAAAATAAAGCAAGACACTGGTAGCTTTAAAACTTACTCACTTTCACATTACCTTTCTGATCTCAACCTGGTAATTTTGAATGCAATGAAAACAGGTGGGGCATTGATATAATACATTGCAAAATATGTACTTTTATATTTTGTTTCCCTCATTTTGGAAGTCTTGAAGCCATTTATATCCCTGAGCTTTGGAGAACAGGATCAATGAACATTTTATACGCTAACTATGTGATATCCTGATGATGAAAATGTACCGTCATGATTTGAGACCATGAGAAATTCTATGCTTTAACTGAATTCCGCTGTGAGATACTTAAGTTAGGAACTAAAAGTTTTAGGCTAAAAAGTATAATTTCTTTCAGGAGACTGATGTGCTGATCCCCTCAGAGCACAGAGTTAAATTCCTTTGTGTTGAGAGTTTTATAACTTAAAGTTTTATAACTTTAAAGTTAAAACTAAGTTATAACTTTATAACTTAGTTTTGATTTGAGTTTTAAAGCACAAAACAAAACTCTCTTCTGAGGGGAAAACACAATCAGGTTGAAGAGAAAGTCAAAGAGAAAGGAAGTGATTCTGTCAGATGTAAAGCCCTAGGCAGCAGTCATTTGCCCTTCTCCATCAACAGTGAACCACGATCTTTCTTTCTCTGGACTTGGCTAATAAATAATCAATGAGGATATGGGATGTAATCTGAGAAGCCAGAAACAATGTAATTCTTGGCATTATATTTAAGGACTGCATATGGTTTTGCAAAACAACACAGATTTTAAAATTATAAATCTTCTAATAAGAAAAGATTTCTTCATAGCACTGAATTTAATTAAACTATGGCTCATTTTGCCAATATCAGCTTATCTATCATGGAGATACTGTTTTGTAAAACTTTTGATTAAATTTTGATGACTTACTAAAATTGAACCGTACTTTTTACTCACAATACATAAATGCAACTTTTACTTTTGAGCCTGAAAAAAATCTCAGATTATCTTTAATTCTCAAAACTTCATGAAATGCTTTGAAGTTGCAGTTGAAGTCATAAAATATTAGCACATTGCACAATAGTTCAGATAGCATTTCTTTAAATTGCTATTCTTAAGGCTTATGGTTAATAAAAGTGGGATTAAGTTGTCTGATTTTTGTTCCTTCATAAACTTTTTATTTGTAAGTTATTAAAAGCAAATTCTGACACAATGAAAAGTAAAATGATTATAAAGATTATGAAAACAGGAACACTTGGGCTGTTGAGTTGGTTAAGTGGCTGACACTTCATTTCGGTTCAGGTCATGATCTCAGGGTCATGAGATCGCCATATGTTGGGCTCCACATTGAGCCCAGAGTCTGCTTCTCTCTCCATCACTCTCCTTTTGCCTCTCCCCCACTCATGCGCTCTCTCTAGCTATCTAAAATAAATAAATAAAACTTTAAAAAATTAGGAAAATGTGCATGTATATGCGTAAGTATTCCTTTATGAGAATTCTGAGTATCCTTGAGTTATCTTAAACTATATAAATAACTGAAAATACTTTTATTTTAGTATTGTTTAATTTTTTTTTGGTATAGAATTATAATTGTTGAAATTTAAGGGGATCTGAGAGGTTATCTTCTCCAGCTCCCTCATTTTACAGAGGAAGAAACTAAATTTCAGAACAGTGAAGTAACTTCACCCAAACTGAACAGCCACACATATCAAGGTCCATGTGCTCTTATACATCTATACATATGTCTAATAAGGTTGGTTCCTATTTATCATAAAAGATCTTTTACCAATAGTCTCTGAAAATAGTCCATATGGATGATATTAATGACATATAATATTTCTTCTTCAGGCATGATCTAAATGTTATACCTGAAATGTTATCACTGACTTTCTGTCAGTGATAAAATAGTCTAAGACTACAACAGAGGAACAAGATTGGACATTCTAATAAACACGTTTAAATGAGAAGGAGAAAGGAAATGCCAAGTGAAAAGTGCCCAGCACCTAAAAATGAACTTGAAACTCATGAATTGGGAAGAAGTCTTGAGATGATAATTCCACATCTTAATTTCACAGAAAAGGAAAGGAAAACTTATTGAGGTGAAGGTCATGTAATTAGCTGCTGAATTGAAATTCAACCTCCATCTCTACTAAAGACATCCTGCCTTTCTGCTGGTATTCTGCTGAAATGTCTAATATCCTTTAGAAGACACAATAGATGTTAATACATTTATTAGTATATCAGGAATCCAACTTAAAAATTCTAAGGAGCAGGGGCTTAGGAAATGAGCAGTTAAAGAAAAGTAGGAGGAAAAGTTATCAAACAGAACATTTAACTGCTCTCACAGTTTTTGTTAGAAACAATTTCAAAGTTGCTAACCTGAAGATGTCATATGAAAGGTTGTATAAAGCCAAGAAAAATCATATGTAGTGTTTGGTCTGATTCTGTGTTCATTAGAGATAAATCTGATACTCCAACTACAAATAATCTATTATTGAAAAATATCTTTTTTTTTATATGAAGGGTCCTAAGATGCTTTTGAAAATCAGTGGCAACATGATAACAATATCTTTACTTCATGAGGAACAGTAATGGGTAATTTTGTCTTATGACATTCTATGGCTCTCATTATTTCAAAATTCAGGATTGGAATCTATAACTGGCTTAATAGCTAAGCAATGATGATATTCATTTAAATGGGACTAATAGCTTAAATGACTACTAATGGTCAAAATATTGATTGACAGCAGCTGGTGCACTTAGTGCTGCTCACTTAGGGCCCTGTATCCCATGTTCATTGTTCATAAAAGGAAAATTGCTCCTTGTTCCCCAATAACATTAAGAATTTTGTTACACTTCACTGGGGGCTCTCATACTTTAGAGGACATTCATAATGCTATATATTTGAGGGTTGGGATCTAAGCTTAGGGACAGAACAATTTAAACCTCTAGAATTCTATCTTTGATTCTATGACCTTACACTCTAAGAGACACTCTCTGAACTCATGTGAAAATTTGCTCCCTGTTTAGTAGACAGAAGGAAAATTCCAAGCCATAAAATCTAGGTTTTGAATTCATTAAACTATGTCATGTTGAACTAGGTAAACTAGGTCTAACAGTACACTTAACAATATAATAGGGTTAAATCATTCACTCAATAGCATGTTTTTTTTTTAATTTATAGATAATATACTTACATGATGAATCACTAAGATTTTAAAAGCAATGTTTCTTGAAAAATCAGAGGGCATTAAATTCATCATATCACTGCTAGGAGGTTCCTCAGGGTGAAATTGTGCTGCTCAACATGATGTGTCTCCACCCTCCTGATCCGTGTTGCTCCTCTCCAGTCCAGCACTGCCTTCTTGGCTGCCAGGTCTATAAAAGATGTTTATTACCACTTTGCACTCCTCCCCCTGCCTGGAAGGCCCTTCTGAGGCTTTGTACTCACTCAAACGTGGTTTGCTTTACAGAGAAAGCATTGGATGCTCTTTTGGGGAATTTGAGCTTTTAATCCCAAGGATTTTCTTTCTTTCTTTCTTTTTTTTTTTTTTTCAATAGCTAGATGCATTACTTTGGGCAAGTGACTTAATCTCTGACCTTATTTGTCTCATCTGTCAAATGAGGAAGAAATGAAAACACCCTTCCAGCTTCAAAGGTCCTTCAAAATTTAGGCCAAGACTAATTTCAGCCATAAGGCCGTTCCAACCCAAATCAGTAACTTTTTTCAAGAACCCTCCCAGACAGGATTTTAGTTAGTGTTATTTCACCATTCTTAGTGCTTTCAGTTCTGCTCTGATTTTGTAATGAGTGCTCAGTAAATCTTATTGAATTCCTGTCAGAAAGGTAAGGAGAGCAAGTTATATCATCAGAACAGAGAGAGCAGGTTGAAAACTCAGGGGTTTATGGATGCATGTCATGTGAAAATCAGAATGCTTCTGGTTTAATTTGAAGAAATCTGTAGGACAGGTAATTAGGGTTAAGAGCCCAGTGAACTGAACTTGGCTCTCCCTTTAGTGTAAAAGGTTGATTTTAGGGAGCGTCAGAGGACAAGGTTTTCTGTGCTATAAAGTGTTAGCCAAATAAATGTTGAAAAAGTACAAAAGTTCAAGGCACATTCCTCTCTGTAGGTTTTCAAAAGTTGATTTTAAGAAAATGACCTCCTATACATTCTGTTGTGCTTCTGAATCTCTACGGAGCTACAGAGGAAGCCCTGAGTGCAAACTCCT